TGCCCGCACCTGGTAGCTGTTGGGACCAATTCTCTGCTCCTTGGCCCCTTTGCTCACGCCGCTTCTCATTCAGCTACAAGTTAGCAATTTTCTTTATTGCTTTTCACCCCCAACTCCTAAATCATAGTATACTTGGTGTTAAATACTCCAAGAAGCAAAAGTAACAGGGATGGGAAGACATTATGTAGCTTTCTAGAACTTAAAGCGCCAGTCCTTCACTTCATAATGTAACTAGGATTGGAACAGAAAGAAAGGCAGAGAAAATTAGACCAGTAGGCACTTCCATAAGCCAAGTTTCTATCTTGTAACTAGTTTTGTGGATAAACTTTAAGAAGATAACTACTAGATATCAAGGATCATTGGAAAGAGGAGGTATAAACAAACCTATAAAGCCCAGCATTTTTGATTTGACTAGCTTTTCTGGAGAAAGTTATTACAAATTAAGTTTTAACAATGTCCTACATGATTAAAATGGCACGTATTGTGTACATAGTCCCTTTATAGTTCATAGTCTGAGGCAGAATTCAAATGTTTGCCTTAATTGGTAAAGTCTGATTATCAGAATTAGCTTAAGCTTCAGCTTGTTCTGTACAATTTTGTGTAGTTTTCCTACTGATATTCAGAACTTGGAAATACTGAAGTACAATGATAACATATATAGCTTGTTCAGCTAATGTTCTTTTGTATGAGTGGGACAAAGACACAAAGATGGCAAATTTCCAGACAACCCGAGTCGCTCATGGCATATCAGACCGAGTCCATTGTAGCACTGCAGTTGTTTAACACGAGTATGTCCATAATACACAGTCTTGAGAAAATTACTTCACTGAGTGTTCCCATCTGTAAATGGGACGGTAACACCTATTCTGTTAACTGGCGGTGAAAAGTAAATGAGAGAAGAAGCTGAATGTTTAGCACATTGTTTGGCTTATTACACATTACAGACTGTAGCTTCTGCTCCTGGAATTGAAACAGCCAATAGTTGGAAGAGCTGCGTGCAGTCACCCTAGGCATTTCATTAATCACCGTCTCCTGTATGTGTTCTTCATTTGAATTCTGCACAGAAGACGGAACATGGGAAGAAGAAAAAGCCTGATGAGGGCTCAAGGCACAGTATGGCGGGCATTTAAAAGACTTCCTCATGCGCTAGTTCGCTCAGGGTTGGCTGTTCAGAATCGTGTCACGGACTGCGTGTCCTGATGCATGTGCAGTATAGCAGTGGCTGTGTGTATTAATGATGGTGCTTAGTAGGAACAGCCTGTGAGTAGTTCCGTGGTTGGATGACGAACACAGGGCAAGCAAAGTCAGACTACAACATCCCTTGTAAAAGCTGGACTAGAATTCATGATAGCCCAGACTGGCCTCAAACTTGCACTAATCCTCCTGCCTCGGCCTCCTGGGTGCTGGGATTACACGCGTGCACCACTACGCCAACAAGCACCTTGCACTGATACATTTTCCCCCTTTCCGTAGGAGACCAATTTGTAGAAATCACGTTAGGAGGCAAATTCTTTCATTTTTCAGAGACCATGAGCTAATTTTATTTCATTTACCTGGCTTTAGCTTCTCCTACCAAGTGGGAATGCTCCCTGCTGTTCTCCCGGTAGTCCTCTCATGGAGTAAAGGACACTGGTAATGCTCCGTGCTGAGTGCTGCCTACTCTGCGGACAGCCAGTCCGCAGTAAAGGCCACTCTGTTGTGGACCCTGTTGCCCAGGACAGTGCTAAAGCACTCTGGTGACCTTCCTCTCCTTAGGAAGTTGTTTCTTTCCTGATGCCTCAGGGGTTTAGACAAATGCCTGCCCTGAGGGCTGTGTTCTCTTTTGCTCTGTCTGTTTGTCCTGTCTGCTGCACCATGGAAAAGCTAAGTGGGAAACAGACCACATTTATAAGGTTAACAACCACGGTCAGCTGTATCCCTAGGAAGCTCTTTAGCTCTTGAAGCTTTATGTATTTTTCCTGGGGCCTGAAGACTTTCCATTTTCAGGTGGGTCTGTGTTCATATTTTGTACAGGCGGAGGCCGCTACATCGCCCCTTTATGTTCAGGAAATGTTACTCAGTTGTGTATTCTTTGAACATCTTTTTTTTTTTGAGGCAGTCTATGTAGTGCAGGCTGGCCTAGAACTCGCTTATGTAGCCCAGGCTGTACTGGAACTCATGGCGATCCGGTGATCCTCCTGCTTCAGCCTCCCGAGTGCTGGGATTACAGGTGTGCGCCACCATGCCTGGCTCTTCTTGTCATACTTCAGGTTTTACAAAAAGTTACTTGGTTCACAAGTTGTTTTTACTCAGAAATTATAACCAATCTTTGGTTCAAACCAGAGAAGTTTTATGTCCATAAGTTACATATATGAACTACCCTGAAAGTAATGGCCTCAGTAAAAAGTTTTGATGCTTGAGCGTCTTTCTGGAGGGCACGGTGTATTTTATCTTAAAACCCCACTAGCAAATTTCTCTATCATAAAGGAAGTATCCTCTAACTAAAGCTAAATATAGAAAGGCATTTTTCCTGCAATACTAACTGTTTATGTATTGTTTGTTTTTTTCTACTTGTAAGCATGGTTCTGTCTCTAATGTCTTTGATTACTTTTTAAATGTATTGACAATTGGGGTACACAGTGGTGACCCCTCGCTGTGGGCTTTAGCATAGCAGCATACCTAATTAACTCTTCTATTTTCCTCAACGCTTCACTTGTCTGTAAAACTGATCCTCAAGTGTAAACAGGTTGGTTACTCTGTTGCCTTTTACCTGTAATTCTCACATATTTTCATGGTTGGAAGAATTAAGGGAGGAAGAGACGTGCTTTATCTTAGCAATCTCAGAGATTTCTGATTTTACTTGTTTTCCATTTTAGTAGTTGAGGGGTCAATGAACTACTGCCCACAGCTCCATCTAGCCCACCACCTACCTGCTTTTGTGTGGCCTGTAAGGCAAGAACAGTTTTTATAATTTTAAATGGTTGAAACAAAAATCAAAAGAATATTGTGTGATACAAAGAATGGATGAAATTTAAATTTCATGTCCATATAATTTCATTGGAACACAGCCATGGTCTATGCTGTCTCTGTCACCGTGCTGAGACGAGTATTGAAACAAAACCCAATGTCCCATGTGCCCCTTGACAGAAATGTCCTGCTGGCCCCGTCCTGGCTGACTGTTTACATGCGGTGCTATACCTCTTCTCGTTTTCCCTGTGAGGGCTTACTGTTAGGTAATACTTGCATGAATACCTTCATTTGAACTACAAAGATGAAAGGGTTATTTTGAATCTACTGAATATATTCCAGAGACCAAATAGCTTGGATCTCTCACTGAATTAGGAGTATCTGTTCACACCTAGAACGGTTCTAGGTATTATTTGCAATTCTATTTTTAGATACCCAAAACACTACAGTCATAAAATGGAAAAATATTTGCAATTGATTTTTATTTATTTAGCTTAGTTATTTTTAGAAGCTGAACAAGAATTGAAGCTGTCTTAATTTGTGGTGCTTGAAACTTATGTGTTTGTAAAGGAGAGAGTCTAAAATTCTATATTAAAATAATTGTGTTAGCAGCCAAAAATTGAGATGTTAGGCCTTTTAAAAACAACACAGTGCGGGGCTGGGGATTTAGCTCAGTGGCAAAGCGCCTGCCTGGCAAGCGCAAGGTCATGAGTTCAGTTCCCGGTACCAGAGAAAAACCAAAAAAAAAAAAAAAAAAAAACAACACAGTGCCACCTTCGATTTCTCACAGAGCTAAAAGCGAGGGCTATACAAGGGAAGAAAAGTCATCCTGCTTTAGTTATAATCCCCTTTGGGAATGCTGTAGGTACTGCCACCTCTGCTTCTATGGAGTTGATGAAGTGCCCCGTTAGGGTGACGGGTGATGGTATTTCTCACAGCACGATAACCCTAAGCGTGAATGGGGCACTAACCCTCTGGGACCCTGGGCCCACAGGCATGAACTGGGCCTGCTCTGCCGGAATGAGGTCGGAGGGCCCTGCTTTAGGCACAGGCAAGCTTCTGCACCAACATGCTGCCGCACTCATCGGTCCCGACAGCATGTAGGGGTAACAGTGAACTTAGCACAGGTAAAACCCATCACATTCAGGTTCTTTCTAATTACTCCAGTAACTAAGTTCTTTCCTGCATAATTTACAAGCATAAATAGCCATTTACTTTGGTCATTAACAGAGCCATGATCTATCAAACTTCTATCCAAATATGAACTTTTTTTCTAATGAGATATGGTCTTGCGATGTAGTTCATGCTGGCCTTGAACTTACTGTAAGGCCAAGGATAACCTAAACCTTGCTGAGATCCCCTGCCTCAGCCTCCCAAATACTGGGATGACAGGGATTTGCCACCACATTTGGCTAGTTTAAAGGCTTTGTGTTTACTTTAGATGTTGAGCATATATGTACCAACTCACCACAATGCATATAATCATTACGTACTGCAAACGTACTAATAAAGATAAAAACTAAAAAATACCACATGCAACAGATTATTCAAGAGTCATGTGGAAAAATAAGGTCAAAAACAAACTTTATTTACATAGGGATAATAAAGATCAGTAACTCAAACACTGAATAATTCAGCTTTGGGTTGATTAGAAGTCCATGATTTACCAATCATATTTCATGGAATAGGAAGAACACTGCATTTGGTATTTTCCCCCGGTGTTCTTGCGGCTCACCTTGAAGGTCCAGAACACTTGAATTATCATTTGTTGCAGGGCAACAGACATGAAATGATGTTCTGTACTTAGAAGTCAGTCTCTCACAAAAAAGACATTATATCCAAGTTCTGTTAGCGCCCCGGCCAGTAAGGCCCACAAAGGGATGAAAACATAGGACAGATTCATGGTTGTAAACTGTTCCAGTTTCGCACAGAGTGCGAGGCAGAAGGCTAACTTAAGTAACATTGCAATGAGGTACCAGGCTTTTTTCTTAATATTATGTGATCCATGGCGAGGGTCAAAGCCAGACTTACACCGCCCGGCCATTTTCACGATCAGCATGACGAGAAGGATGATGTCAAATATCCAGACTGGAATGAATATGAGGAACCAGTTCCACGGCGCCTTCTCATCCAGTTTCAACACCAGCATGATCAAGAAGAGCAACGTGAAGAGCCAGGTGAGCAGCACTCTCTGGGCCAGGGACATTCTCATTTAAACAGCTGAGAGAGGCTGCTGCAGGATCGGAAAGAGGGAAACACGCCCTAAGAGAGGGGAGGAAAAATCAAGGTAGTTTGGATACCAGAAAAAAATTACTGCCAGTCCTAGTGAACAAAGTTGGCTCCTTTCCTACTTAGATTTTCTACTTTGAAAACATCGCATCATTCTTCCTTTAAATACTTCTAAAACCTGGAGCAATGACTGCCAATAGAGCCATCATCTCTTATGGCCCGTAGCTAAGGGTAAGCTGTCTGGACGAGATCTCCAGGAGTCTGTTCCTTTTCAGCGCTGTGGTCCGGGCACTGGCGACCTTATCCCTGGTCCCCACACATTTGCACAACTTTGGCTTTTCGTTCCATTTCAAAGGTGCTAAGATAAGGTGTCTGAAATTAAAGCAGTAAGAGGGTGGAGGCATATCTAGCTGAGAAGAGTTTTTTTTTTCCTTTTTGGAGACAGGGTCTCACTATGAACTCACTGTAGCCCAGGCTGGCCTCAAACTCAGTGATCCTCCTGCCTCAGCTTCCCAAGTGCTCGGATCACACGTCACCATGTCTGGTGAGGAAAACAAGCTTTTATACAGTGGGAATGGTTAGTAAATACTCCAAGAACATTAAGCAATCATCAAGCAGAATGAAGACTGTGAAGAGGTCACTGGGCTGAATAATATGGAAGGTACTGACATTATACTTGTGTTTATGCATCTGAAAATTTTTATGTCTCAGGTATTTTCCTGTTAAAATGCACAACCTAAAAACTCGATGCATTTTGTAAGTATTTGATGGTAAATTATTCAACAGTCAGGGCACTGCTGTTTTGTCTCACTGACCTATACTTTTGCTTTGCAGTAAAAGCACACAACTCTCTATTGATTTAGGATATGTAGTAATATTTGGAAGACCTCACAGCTACTCACTGTTTTCCAGAATATTTCCTGTTTCATTTTTTTCAGTACTAAAAGCATTAAGCTAATTGGTAGAAACTTGGAATTTTGATTGGGTCTGCATTAACTTATAACAGCTAAGATATTAACATTTATTATATTTTATCTTCACACACAAGCTTGCAGTATGGGTCTCCACGTAGCGAGGTTTTTCAGACCAGTCCTGGGACCACTCAGAATAAGGGCAGTTAGAACGCAAAAGGAAGAGCCAGCCTGCTCTCCGTGGGTGAAGAGTTAACAGAAGATAAGAAAATGCAAACAGCTGAGAACATTTTATTGCTCTGAGCTATCTGGAGAAGAGAAGATGAAAGATAACACACCCAGACTGAGAAAGCGACCTTCTGACATTTTTAGGAAAGGAGGGATCAGTACAGTACGATCCCGCTGGGGGAATATGCCCCTGGGAAACGACAGACTGACCAGACTGACGGTGCAAGACAACACCTGCTGGAGAGAGAAAGATAAGAAGGTGGTAGGAGTGCGTGACAGCACCAGAACAGGAGAAAAGGTACAAAAAGGTAAGAATCAGGAAAAGCACAGCACTGGCTAGGTGAGCCTGTGCTCGTGGTTTTAGAAGGACTCTGATGTACTCTGCAGCACCCGCACACAGGGCGTGGACGAGGTGAGCGCACACACGCGCTGCGGTTCCCGGGACGAGGCGAGCGCGCCCCACCTCCCTCGCCCTGTGGCTCCTGCACGGGCCGCGGCCGCCTCGCACGGCAGCAGCGCTTGCACTCCTCCACTCGGGGGAGGCGCCTGCTCTGCGGCTCCCCTTGGCCACCGGGATGCAGGGGAAGTCGGGAGGAGAGGCAGAGATCGGCGCTGACTGACAACTGAACGACGCTGCTCAGATCTCATCTCCGATCTGGCCATTCTCGAATCCCTCCAGGAAAAGGCAGATAATGCACGTACTTCACCATAACTTTTCCGCCACTAGAAGAGGCAAGCTTCATTTTCTTTCTCCAAAGGCTTTTCTCACTGCCCGACCTCGGCTGAGGGTTGGAGGCGAAAGGATGCAAAGGACACAGCCTTCCAGCGGCCACCGCCTCATCACGCGGGCGGCCACAGCTCTCCGCGCGCTCGCAGGAGGCCCCCGCCCGGGGCAGCCCCCTGCCCGGGAAACGACGCCCGCAGGGCTGTGCGTGCCGAGCCGCGGCGCCGACACACGACTCTCAACTCCGCGTGACGCCCTCGGTCACTTAAAAAGCCTGCTCGCTTCCTTCTGCCCCTTTCCTCTCCCCGCCAGGGAAGGACGCGCGCACCAAGGCGAACACGCGCTCGCCGCCCCTCCGGAGCCCTCGGGCCCCGCGCCGCCGGGCTGGCCAGCTCCGCGGCCGGCCCTGCGCTCTCCCCGGCCTTCCTCCGCACACGCGGACCTTCCGGCCCCCGCGCTGCC